GAGAAAGGTGTGGACGTTTTGATGTCTTGAGTAATGTGTGTATTTGTTGATGTCTTGAGAAATATGTGTATGTGTTGATGTCTTGAGAAATGTGTGGGTGCTTTTGATGTCTTGAGAAATGCGTGTATGTGCTAATGGTGTCTCCCTCCTCTCTCCTCTGGTCAGTGCATGAAGTGTGGGCCAGGTGGCACCGGACAGTGTGTCGGACCGAGCATCTGCTGTGGTCAGGACTTTGGCTGTCATGTCGGGACAGCGGAGGCGGCGGTATGCCAACAGGAGAACGACAGCTCGACCCCGTGCCTGGTCAAGGGGGAGGCGTGTGGGTCAAGGGATGCGGGCAACTGTGTGGCAGACGGCATATGCTGTGATTCAGGTTGGAAGCTTTTACGCTCTTCAAATCAGGGGGGGGGGGGGGGAGGGGAGATTTAAAGTTGCAACATGATTTGTTTGTTTTTTATTTTTTTTTTTTTTTATGGGCAGGGGGGAGGCGTGGTGGTCAAGGGATGCGGGCAACTGTGTGGCAGACGGCATATGCTGGGATTCAGGTTGGAAGCTTTTACGCTCTTCAAATCAGGGGGGGGGGAGGAGGGGAGATTTAAAGTTGCAACATGATTTATTTATTTTTTATTTATTTATTTTTTTTATAATTCTGGGAAAAGGAGGCGTGGCATACAAATGTTTGAAACAACTTTTATATCGCTGCAATCTATGATTATATTTATAGTGTCTTTTTATGATACTTGATATTTAAATGATGCAAAACATGTATTGAAAACTAAGATGAGAAAATTATTATAAATCTCGGTTGTTCGTGAGCACAACAATATGAAAAGTTATCAGCATTTTGTAGATCTCAAACTGTTTGACTTATTTCTTTTTTTTTTTACTTTATCAAATAAATATAAGATCGCAAAATAATATAAGCGCGCAAATAAATATAATACTGCAAATAAATATAAGGTTGCATTATCGTGCTATTCCTTATGGTAATTAAATTAAGAAAACTTAATGTTATCTACCAACTTAATGTTGGATCTCTAACTAATCTTCAATCTCTAACTACTCTTGTATCTCCACCTAATCTTGTATGTTAAACTAATGTTTTATCTCCAACTAATCTTGTATGTTCAACTAATCTTGTATCTCCAACTAATCTTGTATCTCCAATTAATCTGGTATCTCCAACTAACTTTGTTTCTCCAACTTATCTGGTATCTATAACTAATTTTTTTATCTTCGATGTTTTCTCCTCATCTAGAATCATGTGCTGTGAATGACCGATGCCGTGATCTAGATGGAAACGCCCAGGCCAACCGGGGTGACCTCATTCAGTTGATACACAAACTCCTGAAAGTGAGGGATTACGACTAACCGGAAGTCAACTAAGCCGCCAAGCTCTGCTTCTCAGCCATGCGCGTCAGTGGTGGAAAACATGGCGGGAAGTGGTCCTCAAGTCTCGCTTCTTTTGGCATTTAGATAACGTGGGGAAGTTGGTTGTCTCAAACAAATGATTGTCTCAAACAGTTGCTTGTCACAAACAGATGATTGTCTCAAACAGTTGATTGCCACAAACAGCTGTTTGTCTCCAGCTGGTGTAATGTACATGACAGTGAGAATGTGGTGTATATGAAATAAAGAATGGTCCATGAAGATAGCACCATCGTTCTGTGTTTCCTGGTTAAATTGAACTCATTTCTGGAAGCTTGTCTCAATATAAAGTATAGAAAAAAAAATCACATTATTTTCTATTGTCATATTTTCAACACATCCATTTTTTTTATCTAATTAAAGTAGCGAGATTATGGGCAAACCTATGACATTGCGACCTTTTTAGAAAATGTTGCCGAGTTGCCTACGGCCGGATGTAGATACAGCAAGGCCACCACCATCTTCTTGAAAATGGGCCTCCATTCTTCCGTTTTCGATATCACAATGAGGGGTTTTCCCAATACCTCGTTTATTATTTTAATGTGGATCTTTTTTTAGCTTAACCGGCGCTTATTTTTTTATTCGTTAAAAAGTTCCGGTTCTGGGTTATGTTTTTGTGACGAACAGATATAACAACTTCTTTACTAATTGTTTCTGAGATTACAACTTAAGTCAAAATTAAAGAAATCAATAAATTTAAGATTAATCAGACACTTGTTTATTGGCGAAGTTTTAATTCCCGATTCTAAAAATACAGAAACAAGGTTCTGGATCTGGTAGTGTTCGTTGCTGCATCCCTGTACTGGCATCTGTGCAACGGTTGGGGAAATGATGTTGGTAGTCTAACAGCTCCTAGCTGATGCCAGGGCAGCCTTGAAGCTTTCGACCGATGTCGAGTTCACAGCGGCATTGTCCAGGTGGTTCCATGCTCTTATTGTGCGTGGGAAGAAAGATTGTTGATACTGCACTGGGTTTCACCGAGGCCCAATCAAGCATTTGCTATTGCTTCGGGTGTAATTGTTTATGGGGTTGTCAGTGGTGAAATCAGTGTTCAGTGAGCGTTTGGCTCTGATCAATCGACCCTGCTTCTGTGGGGTGAGGTACGTGCCTGCTGGGATGGCCGGCACCAGTCCCCTGACCACTTTATATAAGAATATCAGGCGGAGTCCCTCTCGGCTGTCCTTAAGGGAGGGGATGTCAAATCTTTTTAAAAGGTCAGTGACGAAGCCAGGAGTGGTGGATTTGTGGTCACGTGCGACGAAACGCACCGCGTTACGTTGAATTCGCTCCATCTTGTCCACGTCTTGCTTGAGGTGATGATGGGTCCCAGGTGATCGCACCTGGGGTGTGGTGTTACCTTTTTATATATATATCAAATATAAGATCGCCGAACTTACTACTTAAAAAATCATAAAATAGTTAAAAACTTTCTTTGGGTATCAACAAATATTTTTTTTTTAAAATGTTTGATATCCGATTAATGGCCATTTATAATTGACACATTGGGTTGTGTTCACAAGTGCAACTTCCATAACCGGGTGGGCGCCATCGAGTATACCGAATATAGAGTTTAGAATTTCCGATTCTAGGAAATACGGAAACAGACGGAATAATCACTTGGAAAAGTCTGTAGTTAAATCAGTCAGAGCCAACGCACCCTTTGATTGGTTGGGTGGGTGGGGGGGGCGCGGACACTTCTTCAGGGGCCCAGCGTCCGCTACAAGAAATATCATAACGCCATTAAAGTAAGACATAGCATAAGGTTCTCCTCATAGAAGTTCATACTAAAAAGGGTTACGCAAGTACAAAAAGGTTGAGAACCACTGTCCTACAGTATGTATTCTAACAAACCTATACATGTAAACTGTAATTATTTTTGTTTAACTCATCATGTCAAGTACTCATTCATTTAAGAAACTTAATGACTTAATAAGAGTATTATTTTAAATACGAGGACGACTAAACTCTCTAACTCAAACTTTCGCTATATTTCATTAAAAATTGTAATCAATTTTTTAAAGGAAAAATAAAAATTGTGCAAAACTAAGTTGATTTCGTGGACAAGGAGAGTTGAACAAAGAATGGTGAAGGGTGTTCAACAGTACGGGTGAACACATTTAAGTCAATGAAATTAAAGAAAGCAGTCATATTTATTTAATGAAACGTCTTCCCACGCACCAACGAGATATGATGTAGTCGCGACTGTTCCCAGAACAGAATCCTGTTTCTTGATCGTGTAAGCAAAAGAGTCGCATTGTTCCATAGATCAGCAGCTTATGTCCACATCAATGTATAGGTCATAGGTCGATCTTTAAGACACAAATAATTTTATGGTGCTGAAGTTTTTGTTTAAGAATTAAAATCTATCTGGGACACTGTATAATAGGAGTGTAAACATTTTGGTTGAGTAGTGCCCCTTTGCGACTAGCTTCTATCTCGACAGCTGCACATTTGCCACACTATGGCGTGAGTTGATTCAGTTCTTTCCATTCTTCTCCACTCACCACTCCACTCACCACTCCACTCGCCACTCCACTCACCCCTCCACTCACCCCTCCACTCACCCCTCCACTCACCCCTCCACTCACCCCTCCACTCACCACTCCACTCACCACTCCACTCACCACTCCACTCACCACTCCACTCACCACTCCACTCACCACTCCACTCACCACTCCACTCACCACTCCACTCACCACTCCACTCACCACTCCACTCACCACTCCACTGCCTCTTTCTACATCGGGGACACAACGCATTATTCTCAGTTTTTTAAAGTAGCATACTGAGTAGGGTTTTTTTAAATTTATTTACAGAATTAATCAAAGGGGGGCCATCAAAATTTCAATATTGCTACAGTCCACATTTGCTTATTATTTCCCTTATTTCGCCTGGCTACCGAGACGTTCAATTAAACTATCCGTCATCTTTAGTAACAATTTAAATACTAAATAAACCAATTTATGTAAGGCCAATATTTTTGTTCACTAACATAAATCTCTTATTGAACCACTCCTAAAAACAAAGATTTTCGTATGAATCCTTTATAAAATGTAATTTCGAGCACTCGGGGGGTGGGGCTGAAAAATTGACAATTGACACCCCTTCAAGTGACGCACTTTATAAGAATCCCAAGGCTCGCAACCCCACACCCCTTAACGCCCCTGAACCCAATTAATCTTCCAATGCCCCACCCGCCCTTACACCGCAGATTTATTTGACCCAATAGTTCAGTAAAAACATAATAAAATATTACTCACCAAACGGAAGTGACGACATTTTTAAGACCCTGGTTTAGAGCAGTGATCAGGAATTTTAATTGGTGAAATCAGTGGCATCTGGTAAAGCTGAGTTTTTGGTGGTGGGTGGTGGGTGGTGGGGGATTGGGGGCTGAAAATTTGAAAGAACGTTTAGTCATCGCCAGTGAGTATGTGTGCCACGTTTGAGCTCGATAGGTTGACGGGTAGTGGGTCAATTAGCCGTCCGAAGATTTAGCCCTAAACAAACACACTAACAAAAGCGAAGTTGAATTAAAGGATTTTTTTAAAAAAGGTAAAGTAACATCATGCCACTAGGTGATACCGGCAACTTTAATGTCAAACAGACACATTAGATTACACTGCATTACATTACATTACATTATACATATCAAAGAAACGTTTAATTTATATATGTCAACTTACCAACTACAAATCACTAGTACCTAAAATGACTATCAGTTATAAGCAAACATACAAGCATATTGTGGCTTGTGTTGACATTACATATGTCATACATAACTAAATCTGAAGGTTTGCTAATACCGCACAAGAAATTCATCAGTTAAACAATGCCGTGAATGTTCTATAGAACAACTGTATTAGTGACACAATGTTATTAATGTTCTATAGAATAACTTGATCAACAACACAATGTCATGAATGTTCTATAGAACAAATTTATCAGCAACACAATATCATACACCATCTATAGAACAGTCTATTGATTGGATGAATAGTAATATACATTATTTAAGCTCATGCTTTGAGAATCGTACATGTAGTTAATAAATTGGATGCAACATTCTCGTAACAACCTCTGAAATTTTACAACTTATTACAATCATTTCACCATCACCAAACATTTTAAAAATCTATCTCTCGATTCAGGGCATGAAACAAATATTTAAGTCCACACTATGATCATTCAGCGCATACATCAATTGTTCAGAACATACAACAATTGTTCAGAACATACAAACAATTTTTCAGAAAATACAAAAAATTTTTAGAACATGCAACAATTTTCATAATATACAAACAATTGTTCAGAACATAGAACAATCGTTCAGAACATACAACAATTGTTCAAAATATACAACATTTGTTTAGAACATACAACAATTGTTTAGAACAAACAACAATTGTTTAGAACATACAACAATTGTTCAGAACATACAGACTATTGTTCAGAACATACAACAATTGTCCAGAATATACATCAATTGTTCAGAACATACAACAATTTTTCAGAATATACAACAATTTTTAGAACATACAACAATTGTTCAGAACATACAGACAATCGTTCAGAACATACAACAATTGTCCAGAATATACATCAATTGTTCAGAACATACAACAATTTTTCAGAATATACAACAATTTTTAGAACATGCAACAATTGTTCAGAACATACAAACAATTGTTCAGAACATAGAACAATCGTTCAGAACAAACAATTGTTCAGAACATACAACAATTTTTCAGAACATACAACAATTGTTTAGAACATACAACAATTGTTCAGAACATACAGACAATTGTTCAGAACATACAACAATCGTTCAGAACATACTACAATTTTTAGATCATCCAACAATTGTACAGGGCATACACTGATTGCTGCTCAGATGAATTCACATAACATCGGTCCATGTATCATTTACCTGCCGAGACAAGACTGCACTATGTTTAGACAAGTGCGGTAGATGTCTCAGTGAGTTTGGATGGATGACAATAAGAATCATCCACGCAGCCCTACATTTAGTTACATTGTTGTGGCAGACGATATTTGAGGACTAAGGCTATCAAGTCACAACCCTAGTCATCCTTGCTTTCACACTTTGCCAATGTTGATCTAACAACTTGTACGGCAGGTGAAATATTCTGAAAGAATGTGGACTTCTGCTGTCATTGATTTTTTCACTTTTCTTGATTGGTTCAACCAGGTCAGCTCAGCTTTTTGTGACACCACCTTAAGACAGTGAGGTGACAGTGAGGCTACAGTGAGGTGACAGTGAGGTGACAGTGAGGCGTGAGGTCTCAGAAAACTGACCTGAAATCTTTTTTTTTTTCTACTTTTAGCCTTCGAACAAAAGCGAAATTACTTTACAATATATGTTTCAATAACTTTTATACGGTCCCAATGTAATATTTTCAAATCTGTTGCTAGCGTCTTTTGTTTTATTTTGGTTGTTAAAACGAATAAATAACACTATCAAGATAAAACTCATTGACATTTGTAATCACCTATATCTGTTCCAGCCCCTCTCGCGAATTATGCCCCTTGGTCTCATCTCCGGATTTCTCGGTCGAACTCCACTCGTGTACGAATCGACATCACTCTTGTATGCGGCATCGAATCGAATAAATCTGTCTTCCTCGTCGTCCTCATCATCAAAGTTATATTCACTTTCAGTGTCGGAGTCCCGTGCCCTCCGGCGACGCCGATGGCGATTTTTGGTGCGGCGATCGTGTGTGGCATAGATGTGGAACTCCCCGTTTTCTAATTTTATTTTGACTTCCGTGAAGGGATATTTCCCGTACGTGCGCATCAGTTCTTCCTTAAGAAAATCGGGAATTCCCCTGAACTCACCTTGTGATTCCCTCACATCAATGCTCATGACTCGACCAAACTCCAGATCACAAGTGATGCTGAATCCTGGATTGAAAGGCCCGTACGATGGATAGGGAACTCGAACAGGAACAGGCACTGGAACATGCTGAGGAACATGCTGAGGAACAGGGGCGTAAGGTTGATAAGGATAAGGATTAGCCACTCCCGGGTACATCGCCTGGGGGTTATAAAATGGCGCCGGGTTAACCACCTCTCCGTTTGGACCATAAAAATACTGCTGGGGTGGCTGGTTAAAGAATCCCGCCTGGGGCGCCGAGTGGTGCCTACGGTCCAGGCCCCCATACATCCCAGGCTGGGGCGGTGGCAGCCCGCCCGTCGTGTTGTAGCCTGAGGGCGGGTTGTAAATTCCTGCTCCGAGCATCGGGTTGTGGGCCCTGGGGAAGGGGTTGGCGCTGATGGCGGAGTAGGCAGGGGATTGTAGCGAGGACACCTCCAGGCCACTGTGTCCGGACACCAACATGGCCGGCACGTCCAGCAGTGGACGCGTGCCAAAACGTGATGACACAACGGGGTCAACCATATTCTGTTAGCAGACGACACAACTGTCTGTGTGTGCAAATGACACAATTGTCTGTGTGTGCAGATGACACAATTGTTTGTGTTGCAGATGACCCAACTGTTTGTGTTGCAGATGACCCAACTGTTTGTGTTGCAGATGACCCAACTGTTTGTGTTGCAGATGACCCAACTGTTTATGTGTGCAGATGACACAATTGTTTGTGTTGCAGATGACACAACTGTTTATGTGTCCAGATGACACAATTGTTTGTGTTGCAGATGACCCAACTGTTTGTGTTGCAGATGACACAATTGTTTGTGTGTGCAGATGACACAATTGTTTGTGTTGCAGATGACCCAACTGTTTGTGTTGCAGATGACCCAACTTTTTGTGTGTGCAGATGACACAATTGTTTTTGGTGCAGTCGACACAACTGTTTATGTGTGCAGATGACACAATTGTTTGTGTTGCAGATGACCCAACTGTTTGTGTTGCAGATGACACAATTGTTTGTGTGTGCAGATGACACAACTGTTTGTGTTGCAGATGACCCAACTGTTTGTGTGTGCAGATGTCACAATTGTTTGTGTTGCAGATGACCCAACTGTTTGTGTCGCAGATGAGCCAACTTTTTGTGTGTGCAGATGACCCAACTGTTTGTGTTGCAGATGACTCAACTGTTTGTGTTGCAGTTGACACAACTGTTTGTGTGTGCAGATGACACAACTGTTTGTGTGTGCAGATGACACAACTGTTTGTGTGTGCAGATGACACAACTGTTTGTGTGTGCCGATGACACAACTGTTTGTGTGTGCAGATGACACAATTGTTTGTGTGTGCTAATGTTCAACCTTTCTAACTGTGGAGTCTCGGGGTCAGAGCGTTCAAACGGTGATGCAATCAATATATTCCAAAAAAACTAATCCCGTCTCGGATATTTAATGATGAGGTCTTGATTGAATCAACACCGCACCAGTTACAAATGTGATGATAATGCTTCTTTGGTCCTGTGCATGTCCTGTGCATGTCTTCAGGATGTCAACAAATCCTGTCAAAACAAATATAATACATGTGAATACATTTTGGTATCGAATAACATAACGGACCGAGTGATTGCCGTTAATTAAATATAAGTGAAATGATTTAAATAAGGTAATTTTATAAGACTTCGCACTTCTAATTATCTGGCACAGAGGTCGGTAGCATTCTTCATGGCAAAGAGCCAAATATTCAGTTTTTGATCTAGTAACTGATAGTACCCAAGAGCTACCTTAGAAAGATCAAAGAGCCACATGCGGCTCGCGAGCTGCAGGTTCCAGATCACTGATCTAGCACTGCGTTTCCAAAGTGATAGGACATGAACCGATACTGTTCCGTCAACCGATACTGATACGTGAATCGATACTGGCTGATGAGCCGATACTGATACGTGAACCGATACTGGCAGATGAGCCGATACTGATACGTGAACCGATACTGGTATGTGAACCGGTATTGCTATGAAAGACCTCCAGTCTGCAACTGAGTTAAATATGACTCAAAATTTTTAGCAGCAACTTTTCAGCTTTCAAAGTGCATTCTACTTCGACGGTGTGGACATCAAAGCCCTCATATGTCGGCCAAATAGGTAGCCCTAATGAGTAGTGCTAATAAGTAGCCCTAATAAGTAGCCCTAATAAGTAGAGCTAATGAGTAGCCCTAATACGTAGCCCTAATAAGTAGCCCTAATGTGTAGCCCTAATATGTAGCGCTAATACACCAGAGATTACACGCTATGTTTGTTTGATAAAGAGTACAAAAGATGGCGTACACCCTGCCCAATCACAACACCGATATACCTTCCCAATCACAACACAGATATACCCCTGACCAATCACAATACAGCTATACCCCTGTATCGATGCTCAGTATATTTGATTGGTTGAATTCTTCAGATTCTTCCCATGTTCATACCTTGTTATACAACGAATCAAACACAATTCAGTGCTCATTAGCAATCTACCTTAATCTATAAATATATTTAAAAGGCTGTACATTTCAAGGCAGACTTAGACAATACGTCATGATTACCATAAAAATAGGTCACCGCGTAAAGTGAGGGACAAGCGTTCATTAACTAATGATTCTTTTTAAACAACACCGCGCACAATAAGACACAATATCCATGCGCGGCAATTATTAGTGAACTCCCATTATCGACACCCTGCACAATTACAATACAGATTTAATCCTACTATTTTACAACACAGATTTAATCCTACACTCTTTGAACACAGATTTAACCCTACATAATTAAAACACAGAATTGACCCTGGAGAATTACAACACAGATTAACCTTACACAATTACAACACAGATTAACCTTACACAATTACAACACAGATTTATCCCTAAACAAGTACAACACACTTGCAGATTCGCTTTTTTTGTCGCACATGACACTTTGATTGGTGACACTGGATCATCTTCCTGGTAAAAGCAGTTGAACCTAACGAAATACTAATCAAAAACCATAAACCTTGACCAAGGAACGTCCAGTTGGATGGGACAGTCACCAGCTAGAGTGTTACCAGGACCAATACATTTGGGTGGTGACATTGTTTAAAGGGGAAGAGGTGCTGTCCGGGTCATCTCAATGATATGATGTGAATGTGACCTAATGATATGATGTGAATGTGACCTAATGATATGATGTGAATGTGACCTAATGATATGATGTGAATGTGACCTAATGATATGATGTGACGTTGACCTAGTGATAGGATGTGAATGTGACCTAATGATATGATGTCAATGTGATCTAATGATATGATGTGAATGTGACCTAATGATATGATGTGACGTTGACCTAATGATATGATGTGACCATGGTCTAATGATATGATGTTACTGTGGCCTAATGATATCATGTGATGTGACCTATATGATATGATGTGAATGTGGCCTAATGATATAGTGTGACGTCGACCTAATGATATGATGTGGCTATGACCTAATAGTATGATGTGACAATGACCTAATGATATGATGTGACAATGGCCTTATGATATGATGTGACTGCGACCTAATAATATGATTTGACAATGACCTAATGATATGATGTGACCATGGTCTAATGATATGGTGTGACTATGAACTAATGATATGATGTGACTTCGACCTAATGATATGATGTTACTCTGACCTAATTATATAATGTGCCCTTGACCTAATGATATTATGTGACCTAATGATATGATGTGATTATGACCTAATGATACGATATGGCTGTGACCGAAAGATATTATGTGACTATGACCTAATGATATGATGTGACTATGACCTAATGATATGATTTGACGTGGAACTAATGATATGATGTGACTGTGACCTAATGATATTATTTGACTATGAGCTAATGATATTATATGACTGTGAACTAATGATATTATTTGACTATGACCAAATGATATGATGTGACTTTCACCTAATGATATTATTTGACTATGACCTAATGATATGATTTGATCGTGACCTAATGATATGATGTGACTGTGACCTAATGATATTATTTGACTATGACCTAATGAGATGATGTGACCGTGACCTAATGATATGATGTGACTGTGACCTAATGATATTATTTGACTATGACCTAATGATATAATTTGACTATGACCTAATGAAATGATGTGACCGTGACCTAATGATATGATGTGACTGTGACCTAATGATATTATTTGACTATGACTTAATAATCTAAGTGGACTGTGACCTAATGATATTATTGGACTATGGCCTAATGATATAATGTGACTGAGACCTAAGCCTAATGATATGATTCTCGATGTGACTATGACCTAATGATATGATGGGACTGTGACCTAATGATATTATTGGACTATGACCTAATGATGTAATGTGACTGTAGCCTAAGCCTAATGATATGATTCTCGATGTGACTATGACCTAATGATATGATGGGACTGTGACCTAAGCCTAATGATATGAGTCACGATGTGACTATGACCTAATGATATGATGGGACTGTGACCTAAGCCTATTGATATGATTCACGATGTGACCATGACCTAATGATATGATGGGACTGTGACCTAAGCCTAATGATATGATTCACTATGTGACTATGACCTAATGATATGATGGGACTGTGACCTAAGCCTAATGATATGATTCACTATGTGACTATGACCTAATGATATGATGGGACTGTGACCTAATATTATTATGTCAGTGGTTTTCATAAGCCAATCCCCCCCCCATTTCTTTGTATAGCCGCTAGTCATATGTTGTTGACATGAAAGTTTATGCATATAATGGTTGGGCTCGACTTGAGTTCATACAATCGGATTCACATATTGAAGGACTTTCGATACATTTCATTTACAATATCAATAAGCTTAAAAATAAACGTTTATTTTTTTTAAAAATTAAACAACTTTATTTAAAGCGTTTAAGACGTAGAAATAAAGTGTTTATAATTTCGAAAGCTAAGCATCGAATTACATATAACATAAAAACATTCTTAATTTCTGTTCTTAAATTCATTCATTCAGCAACTGCTAATTTAAAAATTAAATTAATATAACAATGAAAGATCGATAACAATCGATATGAAACAATAGCTCTGAACATTGCAGCATTCATGCAGATAATTGTCTACCTCCAAGGAAATATTCCAGAGTATTCACCTTGTCCCGTGAAGACAACATAGCGTCCATTTTGCAACATGGCGTCAAGTTACCCGTACTGTTAATGGCAACCTAATGCCAGAACGGCAATCACAGTATGAGAATACGAGTCGGGAAAATCTTAAAGATCGACCTGAAGCAATAAAGCTTTTTCAATAAGCGGTCTTCACATACGATCATTGCAGTAACATTTGAATGCGATGCCATAGTCATTGGTACTATAGAAATGCATATCTACATTGCTACTAAAGGACTACATATCTAGACCAGGACTGCACAACTCAAAATGTGAGGCGGGACGTATTACTTTATGAAAAACTTGTGATGGCCTAAAGAAAATAGGACATGGAGAAAGGTTATTTAAGAAACAAATAATAAATAAAGAATATTTCGTTGCTTCGCGGGCCGCAAAGTGGCTGCTGGTGGGCCGCATGTTGTGCATGCCTGATATAGACAGTTTATTTTGGAAATTATACATTTCGTTGGGTCTGAATTGCATTTCTAATGTAATTTGTCGCAATGTTTCAAACACTTAATCATTTATTTGTTATAATAAATGACATTAACTCAGTGGATCTTAACCTGGGTTCGATCGAACCCCAGGGGTTCGGTGAGTCAGTCTCAATGGTTCGGCGGAGGTCCCCAAAAAAAAAATCTGAAAAAAATCACATTTTATTTTTCCTATTAAGAAGGGTTCGGTGAATGCGCACATGAAACTGGTGGGGTTCAGTACCTCCAAAAAGGTTAAGAACCACTGCATTTACCGAAATATCAAGTTTTGATTTAAAGATATTAAGGAATACAAATTCCCCATGTTTAACGAAAATACTTTTTTTTTCAAAAATAATTCTTGAAGGTTTCTCTTTGTATACACAAACTCCACCAACAGAGCGATCTTGTGTATCGCGTGTGAAGAACCCCTTAAATTATTGATTTTTTCCCCCTCGCTAAGCCCATTGATTCAGAATCGCCGAATTTATTTTTTTCTTCTATGCCCTCTGTCGCCACAACACAAGTGTGTGTGGGGGGGGGGGGGGGGGGGGGAGACAACCGGGTAGATAAGCTCAGTGGGCCGGAACATGTAATACGACTGCTAGACTACAAGGCGTGCCTGTTGACTGCTTCGCTTCAGAGGGTACTGAAACAATGCGCATAATGAAGGATTTGTTGGGGAGTCATTTAATCTGAGGTTTAGAGTCTGTGTCACGGCACACATCCCCCCTCCCCCCTGGGGCGTCGCGTCATTCTGACCTTGATCCACGCCCAGCCAATCTTTCAGGGACAAGTGTGAACAGGAGCAGACACACACACACCCACACACACACACACACACTGTAAAATTGGTCAATATAATATAATAGCTATTAGTATTATTATTCTTATTACTGAAGTGATCTTATATAGCGATGTACTCCAGCCTAGGGCTAAGCTCTCATAGAGCTTGACAGAAAAAATTAGCAAAATGAAAAGAAGAAAAAAAGAAAAATGAAATTAAAAAATAGATTCGCAAAATTATTTCATTTTTTTATGTCTGAATATGTTTACTAAATATGTGTCAGAAGTTTCATCTTCATTTTTCTTGACGAATTCTACCGCTGTTTTCTTTTTTTAAAGGCCCACTTAATATCTACTGAACTTGTGCTTTAAAAAAAAAAAAACAGGAAGCGCGTATTTTTTAAACGTGTCAAGTAAAATATATCATCTTCAATGGGGAATCTTGAAATGCAAAAGTGATGTACACATTGTTACAGGGAGGGACTTGTGTGTCATGTTACAGAGAGAGACTTGTGTGTCGTGTTACAGGGAGAGTCTTGTAAGTCATTTTACAGTAAGAGACTTTTGTGTCATGTTACAGAGAGAGACTTGTATGGTATGTTACAGACAGGGACTTGTGTGTCATTTTACAGGGAGAGACTTTTGTGTCATGTTACAGAGAGAGACTTGTGTGTCCTGTTACAGAGAGAAACGTAAGTGTCATTTTAAAGAGAAAGGCTTGAGTGCCGTGTTACAGAGAGAGACTTGTGTATCATGTTAAAGAGAGAGACGTGTATGTCATGTTACAAAGAGAGACATGTGTGTTATGTTACAGAGAGAGACTTGTGTGTCATGTTACAGGGAGAGACTTGTGTGTCATGTTACAGAGAGAGACTTGTGTGTCATGTTACAGAGAAAAACTTGAGTGTCATGTTAAAGAGAAAGACTTGAGTGTCGTGTTACAGAGAGAGACTTGTGTGTCATGTTACAGAGAGAGACTGGTGTGTCATGTTACAGAGAGAGACTTGTGCGTCATGTTACAGGGAGAGAAGCGTGTGTGTCATGTTACAGAGAGAGACTTGAGTGTCATGTTACAGACAGAGGCGTGTGTGTCATGTTACAGGGGGAGGCGTGTGTGTCATGTTACAGAGAGAGACTTGTGTGTCAAATTACAGACAGAGACTTTAGTGTCATGTTACAGAGAGAGACTTTAGTGTCATGTTACAGAGAGAGACTTGTGTGTCCTGTTACAGACAGAGATTTTAGTGTCATGTTACAGAGATTTTAGTGTCATGTTACAGAGAGAGACTTGTGTGTCATGTTACAGAGAGAGACTTGTGTGTCATGTTACAGAGAGAGGCATGTGTGTCATGTTACAGAGAGAGAGACTTGTGTGTCATGTTACAGGGAGAGACTTGTGTGTCATGTTACAGAGAGAGACTTGTGTGTTATGTTACAGAGAGAGGCATGTGTGTCATGTTACAGAGAGAGAGACTTGTGTGTCATGTTACAGGGAGAGACTTGTGTGTCATGTTACAGAGAGAGACTTGTGTGTTATGTTACAGAGAGAGAGACTTGTGTGTCATGTTACAGAGAGAGACTTGTGTGTCATGTTACAGAGAGAAACTTGAGTGGAATGTTACAGAGAGAGGCATGTGTGTCATGTTACAGAGAGAGACTTGTGTGTCATGTTACAGGGAGAGACTTGTGTGTCATGTTACAGAGAGAAACTTGAGTGGAATGTTACAGAGAGAGACTTGTATGTCATGTTACAGAGAGAGACTTGTGTGTCATGTTACAGGGAGAGACTTGTGTGTCATGTTACAGAGAGAGACTTGTGTGTTATGTTACAGAGAGAGAGACTTGTGTGTCATGTTACAGGGAGAGACTTGTGTGTCATGGTACAGAGAGAAACTTGAGTGGAATGTTACAGGGAGAGACTTGTGTGTCATGTTACAGAGAGAGACTTGTGTGTTATGTTACAGAGAGAGAGACATGTGTGTCATGTTACAGGGAGAGACTTGTGTGTCATGTTACAGAGAGAAACTTGAGTGGAATGTTACAGAGAGAGGCATGTGTGTCATGTTACAGAGAGAGAGACTTGTGTGTCATGTTACAGGGAGAGACTTGTGTGTCATGTTACAGAGAGAAACTTGAGTGGAATGTTACAGAGAGAGACTTGTATGTCATGTTACACATAAAGACTTGTGTGTCATGTTACAGAGAGAGATGTATATTTAATGTTACAGAGAAAAACTTAAGTGTCATGTTACAGAGAGACATGTGTGTGTCATGTTACAGGGAGACACTTGTTTGTCATGTTACAGAGAGAGACTTGTGTGTCATGTTACAGAGAGACTTGTGTGTCATGTTACAGAGAGACTTGTGTGTCATGTTACAGAGAGACTTGTGTGTCATTTTACAGGGAGACTTGAGTTTCATGTTAAAGGGAGAGACCTGAGTTTCATGTTAAAGGGAGAGACTTGTATATCATGTTACAGAGAGAGACTTGAGTGTCATGTTACAGAGAGAGACATGTGTGTCATGTTACAGGGAGAGGCTTGAGTTTCATGTTACAGGGAGAGACTTGTGTGTCATGTTACAAAGAGAGACTTGTGTGTCATGTTACAGTGAAAGACTTCTGTGTCATGTTACAGGGAGAGACTTGTGTGTCATTTTACAGATACAGACTTGAGTATCATGTTACAGAGAAAGACTTGTATTTAATGTTACAGACAAAGACTTTAGTGTCATGTTACAGAGAGAGACTTGAGTATCATGTTACAGAGAGAGACTTGTATGTCATATTACAAATAGAGAGACTTGTGTGGCATTTTACAGAGAGAGAGAGAGAGAGAGAGAGAGAGACTTGTATGTCATGTTACAGAGAGAAACGTGTGTGTCATGTTACAGGGAGAGACTTGAGTGTCATGTTACGGAGAAAGACTTGTGTGTCGTGTTACAGGGAGAGACTTGAGTTTAATTTTAAAAAGAGAGACTTGTGTGTCATGTTGCAGGGAGAGACTTGAGTGCCATGTTACAGGGAGAAACTTCAGTGTCATGTTACAGGGAGAGACTTGAGTGTCATGTTACAGGGAGAAACATGAGTGTCATGTTACAGGGAGAGACTTGAGTTTCATGTTACAGGGAGAGACTTGAGTGTCATTTTACAGATAGAGACTTGAGTGTCATGTTACAGAGAGAGAGAGACTTGAGTGTCATTTTACAGGGAGATCCTTATGTGTCATCTACAGAGTAGTAGGACATTATTCAAGAATTTTTAACAATACTGAATCAACCTTGAGGTCAAGTTAAGTTTGTTGAGTGTGTTGAGCTTTTGAGTGTGTTGTTTTTGTTGAGTGTGTTGAGTGTGTTGAGTGTGTTGAGTTTGTTGAGTGTGTTGAGTTTGTTCTGTGTGTTGAGTGTGTTGAGTTTGTTGTGTGTGTTGAATGTGTTGAGTGTGTTGAGTGTGTTGAGTTTGTTGAGTGTGTTGAGTGTGTTAAGTTTGTTAAGTGTGCTGAGTTTGTTGTGTGTGTTGAGTGTGTTGAGTGAGTTGAGTGTGTTGTGTGTTTTGTGTGTGTTGAGTGTGTTGAGTTTGTTGTGTGTGTTGAGTGTGTTGAGTGTGTTGAGTTTGTTGTGTGTGTATAGTTTGTTGAGTGTGTTGAGTGTGTTGAGTTTGTTGTGTGTGTATAGTTTGTTGAGTCTGTTGAGTTTGTTGAGTGTTTTGAGTTTGTTGAGTGTGTTGAGTTTGTTGTGTGTGTTGAGTGTGTTGAGCGTGTTGAGTTTGTTGTGTGTGTATAGTTTGTTGAGTGTGTTGAGTTTGTTGTGTGTGTATAGTTTGTTGAGTGTGTTGAGTGTGTTGAGTTTGTTGTGTGTATATAGTTTGTTGAGTGTTGAGTTTGTTGAGTTTGTTGAGTGTGTCAGAGGGGATTCCTCGTGTCAACTCACGGATTGTATTAAAATCTCTAAAAGAAACGCTTTCTAAACAAGGCATTTCTGGTTTGACCCTAGACCTCACGTGACCCAGTCAACAGTAACGGTGACTTGGTCACAATTGTTACATCATGGTCGGGCCTAAGGCTCCAGGCAGGCTAAGACCGATAGTGTACATTGTGACCATGTTGATAATTAAAATACAAGTTAGACTTTTGATACGTTTTAAAGGTCTAGGGTAATTAATAACAAGAATCGTTTTTATGAGCAGCTTGGTGACCGTTCTATTGAATACGAATATATTTGGTGTCTACCGTTGAATAATGTTGTAATCGACTACTGAATAAGGTTGGTATGGACTATTGAAAAATGTTTGTATGGGCTATTGAATAATATTTGTATGGACTATTGAATAAGGTTTGTATCGACCTTTCAATAATGTTGGTATCTACAATTAAATAATGTTGGTATCGTCTATAATTTTTGAATAATGTCCATATTGACTATTGAATTAAGCGATGTTTTGGCATACTTCACAAACACGACAGTACACGACTCCACTAGGGATTATATTCCGTGACGCATCTCAAAAAGGGGGGGGGGGGGGGCAGAAGGGATAAATTCCTCGCCTCCATGGTTTTGTGGGCATCTTAAAAGTCATTTGGGACAGGGCACCAGTCACTTTTAACAATGGACACTAGGGATTATATTCCGTGACTCTTCTCAAAAAGGGGGGGGGGGAGGCAGAAGGGATACATTCCTCGCCTACATGGTTTTGATGGCATCTTAAAAGTCATTTGTGACAGGGAACCAATCACTTTTAACAATGGAATAATTCGTTCTATATTTGCAGGTTGTAACGTTGTCTCCCCTTTTTAGTATGTGTTCTTAAGTCAGAGAATACATTGTAAAGCGTTTTAGTTTTAATTAATTTCAAATTATTTTCTACTTTTTAGAGCATTTTAGACGAACTATTTTTTGATAGAAAGTCATTTTTTCATTTTATTTTTGTATATATTTATTTAGTTTTAACTTTTTAGGATTAAAATTGTAAATTATAATCTTCAAATTATCGACAAAAGTAGCGTTCTTTACCCCTTTAAACATCGCATGCTGACAAAATCTCGGTTGAAGTGACTTAATTCTTTACCGGGCAAAAAAAAAAGAAAAAAGTAGATCTGAGCTCACCCACCCCCGACCCACCCATTTCATTCAACCGAGAAGCAGACGCGACCACAATCATTTGAGCACCACTGCCAACCCGCCACCTGTGTAGACTAGTTGTCCAGCCGTCCACCAGGTGAACACTGCAAGAGAAGTCTGAACATGTCACGTGTGTAAACAGACCAAAAATAACTTTCCATCCACACACAAGATAGAAGTTTGGGGAGCGAGAAGGTCTTTAAAAAAAAAAAAGAAACAAGAAACAAGGAATAAATAGAAACCAAACATAGAGAAAAAAAAAAACTTTGTTAGAAGATCTCAATCAATGAAGCTCTGAGTTGAGAATCGGCAGCCATCTGGACCTAGATGCGTTAATATAAAACTTTCAGTTTCAATAGTTACTAAATAGTAATGTTGATTTGAATCTACTTTTTAAATTTGTCCAAAAAGAGCGGACGATACACCAAAATGGCGCAAAGAAGTGCGCAAAGAAGTGCGCAAAGAAGTGCGCAAAGAAGTGCGCAAAGAAGTGCGCAAAGAAGTGCGCAAAGAAGTGCGCAAAGAAGTGCGCAAAGAAGTGCGCAAAGAAGTGCGCAAAGAAGTGC